AAGCATAAGTCTAGAAGAAATAAGAGAAACTCTAGAAGATAGCGATTATAACTTACTCAAAAATAAATACACTGTATACTCTATGGGAACAGGTACCTGCGTAGTAATAATAACTATAGTAGGATTAATAACATGGCGCACAAACAAAAACAAAAATAAAAAGCAAAAGAAAAGCGAGACCGCACAGAAGCGCCGCGACGATGCTATGTTATATTAGTCATAAGCACACGATTATATTACAGTTACGCGACAACATATGTAAACTAACAAGTAAGATCACCTTCCACATCGAAGGGAGGGAGAGATGCCGCGAGCGCCAAGTAAGGGACACATGAAAGCCAAACCCCCATAGTTCCCTTCCATCACAGGGGGAGGGATGTCGCGAGCGCCGAGAACGCAATCACGCTCACCGCTGACAAAGCGGATTGCGGCAAGCGATTGACTTTATCCGACGAATTATTATTTTACCAAGCGATAGCGATTACCAACGCTACCGTGCTAATCGCGGCACGCAAATATTGTGTAATCGTTCCACGTGAAGCAACTGTTAACCGGGTTGCGCGGCCCTTACGCGGAAAACCGCCGCGCGACCCAGAAATATACCGCGAACGCTGACGAACATGTTGATGACACGGCAAGGATCGGCCGCCTGGAACAGGATAAAAACAGAAGATCGATACTAGGAGAGGACTCGTCGAGATCCGCCATGCCGTCACGTCTGTCGCGGTCCGAATTAAAAAGGACAATCTGTATCAAGTGTTAATAAAGTTTATTTAGTATCGAACAAAGTGGTGAGTGCCTATTTCCCGCCGACTCCTTGATCGATCCCCGAAACGACTCGCACAACAGAAGGATATGCCGGAATATTATGTATACATATATTGAGATAAAATAAAAGCTATTACCACTTATGTTGGATACATATCATTTAAGTTAAATTAGATTAATCACAATTTCATGATATCATAATTTTGAAAAAGAATTAAAGCTATTATCACTTGGATTTTAGAATGAGAAGCCTTCAATGAGAATACAAAAATACGAATCATTGATTGATTTACATTTTTTAAAAGCAATTCTACATTTAACTTTCTCAAGAGGTAATGGGACTATAACTTGGCGCCACTTTTTTGATATCAAATCCTTTATATAGATGATACACATATTAAGGTTATTCATTAAATACTATTTGAATTAGTAAGATTGTGATATAATATTTAGGTTTAAGTAAGATATTATACTTGACACTCTTTTTTTACCTTTTTGTAAAAAGATAATTTTATAGTGATAAGTGAATACAGAATTTTGACATAAAATATGATAGATGGTTAATGTTACTATATTGTCGTATAAACAGTCTCAATTTTAAAATCTCGATTGTAAATATATGTAATTCTTGTAAATAATTTATTACATATATAAAGCCGTTATATTATGTTTAATGAGAATCATTTTTCTTATGAAAATTGTTTATAAATTGTTATATATATTTTGTTTACTTGTTATAAATTTGTTAATAATTGTATTAAATATGCGAAATATTTTTCTTATTTATATATTATAGTTAATTAATAAAGAAAAATAGTAATTAATAATGTTATTTCATTATTTATTTATTAAAAATGGCTTAAAAATAACGATTAAATGACGAGACATTTATGACGATAATATAACAAATGTTACGTCTATAGAATATACGCGCGCGACAGAAAGGCGTACGTATCTTTTTCGTACCTTTGAGTATAACTTGAGAATATACGCGCACGAAAGAAAACTGAATGAGTGATGTTCTGTGAGTGATGTTCTAGCGTGAATCTTAGTACGTTACAGATAATCACAGTACAAGCAGTATGAAAATGGGATGATTCGCGGTATGTCGCGTGCTGTTAGGGCATGTACATATGAAAAAGGAGATTATTTTATTCATTATCTTTTCTCGCTGAGATATGGACAAATTTCATATATAATATATATTTATATATGAAATTTTTATATATGTTTCTATACGAACAATTTTTTATTCGGATAAA